ACCCAGAGTTTAGTTATATTTCCTGACCAGTAAGACCCATGGACCCTCCTGCCTCTACCTCTCAGTGCTGGAGTTACAGACATGCACCACCATGCCTGGCTTTAGTGTGAGTGCCAGGATCTACCTCAGGTCCTCACGTTTGAGTGGAAAAGCATCCACTGTCTGAGCCGCAGGATTGCAGTCTCTGTACTGCGCTCAGGGATTGGATCCTATGTTCTAGGATCTCTAGTCCACATTCCATACGCCCACTGCTCCGTGCTGGGCATTTTCACCTCACTCTTAGTTCCAGTGCACACTGGGACTGTGAACGAGGTACACATTTCCCGTGGACATCTGCTTTTGTTTCTTTTTGGGTGTAGACCCCGGAATGGAATGTCTGCTCCGTATGGAAAAGTCTACTCCTAACACGCTGAGGAAAGACCACCTCCAAAGCCATGTGAGGGTTCCCGGGGTGGCCACATTCTTCCCACCTCTCTCTTTCGCTGCAGGTGTGTTAGTGGGTGTGAGGTGTCTCCTCGGGGTGGCCTTGACTTGTGTTTCTCTTGTGACTAATGATGGTAAGTACCTTCCCATGCACTTATTGGTCATCGGTTTATCTTATTTGGAGAACTGTTCAAACTCCCTATCATTTGGAAATGGGGTTGGTATTGCTTCACTGTTGACTTGTGAGAGTCCTTTAGAGATTCAGGGTAAATTCCTTATGAGACACACGACTTTCTCCCGCTCTGTGGGGTATCTTTTCACTTTTGTCGTTGGTGTGGTTTGCAGCAGAGAGTTTTAAATTCTGATAAAATTCATTTTTTTAAACGTCTCTTGTGTTATTGTTGCATGATTTAGGAAGCCATCACCTATCCCAGTACCACAGAGATCTCTTCCTACACTGGGAGTTTTTGCTGGTTTTGTCTGCTTATTTGAGGCAAGGTCTTGCTATGCAACCCAGGCTAGCCGCCACTCATTGGCTAGCCTGCTGCCTTTGGTTCCCCAGTGCCGGGACCATAACCGCACACTGCCATACCTGCTTGTCTCTTAAGGTTTTATACTTTACATTTAGGTTTCTGATTCATTTTAAATCAACCTTTAAAAAGAAAGATTTATTTTTAATTATGTGAATGTGTGCGTATCTGTGTGTGGGTATGTACACATGAGTGCAGTGCCCCCAGAGGCCAGAAGAGGGCGTTGGATGCCCTGGAGTTACACTACAAGCAGTAGTACTGACTTCTGCTTCTTCTGTCTCCACCTCTGAGTACCAAGATTGCAGATGCTAGCCATTATCCTCAGTTTGTGTAGTGAACTGAACTGAGGGTTTCATGCATGCTAGGCAAACACTCTACCACCTGAGCTATGTCTCCAGCCCTTAACTCAGTTTTCTTTTTTCTTTTTTGTTTAACCAGGGTCTCATATAGCCGGGGCTTCAAACCCTAGTTCCTCCTATTTCTACTCCCTAAGTGTTTGGGATGTTAGGTGTGTGTTACCAAATCCAGCTTCAAGTTTTTAGAATCCATGTTCCTGTAACCATGACCACGGTCTAATTTTAGACACCCCAAATAAAATTCTACTGATGGCAGTCACTCCTTGCTCTGCTCTGCCACACATTCACTCTCCTCAGCCCCAGTTAATGAACCTAACAGACTCAGGTGCTGGGAATCAAACTCAGATGCCTTCAAATGAGCCCCAGGCACTCTTAACGGCTGAGCCATCTCTCCAGCCCCTGTTTTGAGCTAACTTTAGTGGGTGGCTTGAGCCAGGGCTTTCAGCCTCATTCTTTTGGTTGTAGCTCTGCAGCTATCGCCTCTAGATTCATTGCAAAGAGTACTTTTTCTCAACGTATTGTATTAGTGGCCTTGTGGAATTTTCATCCCTTCTGCTTATTTTTATTTATTTATTTTTTGAGAGAGGATCTCAAAGCCCAGGCTTGCCTCAATCCAATGTGTAGCAGAGGATGACCTTGAACTTCCAATTATAGTTGATAGGCGTAACCTCCTCAGCCCTTATAGTTTCCATATGGATTTTAGGAGGAGCTTGCTGAACCATTTAAGAAAAGTTTGCTACGGTTGTCTGAAAGCCCTTTTGACACTGACTCCGTAGATCCCAGGGAGGAACTGGCCTGTCAGTGACACCGAGCTTCCAGACTCACCTCCGTGGACTACCCTCGGCTTATTTGGGGTTTATTTGGTCTTCTTTGATCCCTCTGAACATTATTTTAGGTTTTCAGTCTACACTATTTCCATTTCTTTATCAGTTTCATCCATAGAAATTTGGTATTTTTTTGTATTTTTATAAATGTTTTTAGGTTTTCAGTTTTCAAATATTCATTTCCAGCATGTAGACATAGCAACTGTTGTTATTTTTGAATTTTCGTGTTCTGTTCTGCGACCTGGCTAAACTCCACATATGAAGTCTGGGTGGATTCCACAGGGTTTTGTTTTTGCTTTTGTTCATTTGTTTTGTGGCAGGGTCTTACATTCCCTGCCTGTTTGGAAACAGTCAGGCTGGCCCTGAACACTCAGCCTTCCTCCAGCTCCCCACTCCTTGGCGCTGAGATCACAGCGTGAGCCACCACTTCTTTTAGAATGTCAAGCAGTGATTTCATTGCTTGAGCACAGAGATGAGTTTGTACAACTGGGGCAAAGCTGTGGGTGATTCATCTTCCCGAGGATGGGGGAGGACTGAAGTGATACTGGGTGGATGGATGGGTCCATCTCTTTATCACTCAGAACCATCCAGAGCTTAGTGCCTGCATCCTACTGGTAGGAATTCTTCCAAATCAGAGTTGCCTGTTTGAGGCGAGTCTCACTACGTAGCTCTGGCTGCCCTTGAACTTGTGATCTTCCTGTCTTTGCCTCCCGACTGTTGGGTTCTCAGGCAGACACCACTTGTCATGCCTGGCTGGACCCAGGCATCTTTAACTTTACCACAAGGCAGACGGTGCTACGCCTTGTGAGTCCTTCAAGGTCACGTTGTTCAGTGAGGAAGTCGGGCTCTTCCTAGCCAGTTTGTAAACCTGCTCCTTCCTGTCATCAGACACCAGTTTCAGCCAAATAAAGGCACCATCGTGACAGGGCAGCACTGTGAGCATATGGCTGGCAGTGGCCATGGACAGGCAGGAATCCTCGTGTGGACTCCTAAATGGATGCTAATGGAAGTGTTCTTTTGTTGTTGTCATTGGTGGTTATTTGTTTCTTCTTTGAGGCAGTGTCTCTCCATGTAGTTCAGACTGGCCTCCAGGTCTTGGGGGATCTGCCTGTTTCTGCCTCCTGAGTGTGGGATTAGGCACGTGTGTCATCAGGTCCAGGGACAGATTCATCCATTGTGATTTTAATGGTTTTTTTGTTTGTTTGTTTGCTGATTTTTCGAGACAAGGTTTCTCTGTAGCTTTTGGAGCCTGTCCTGGAACTAGCTCTGGTAGACCAGGCTGACCTCAAACTCACAGAAGATCCACTTGCCTCTGCCTCCTGGGTGCTGGGATTAAAGGCGTGTGCCACACCTGCCCAGCTGTGTTTTTATTTCTTTTTGTGCCTCCCCAGTCTCTCTCTCTCTTTACCTTACTAAAGCCCCCACCGCTGCCCACTTCCCGCCAACCACAGTGCAGTGCTGAACAGATCCAGTGTGTGGACATCCTTGGCCCCTCCCAGCAGGGGACATTCAGTTTTTCAGCCTCAAACTTGATTTTGGTTGTGATTTATAGTTCAAGGTGAACTTAGATCTCAACTTTCTGACTTTTAGATTTGTTTTTGCCAAGAATGAAGGCTGAATTTTGTACCATAGTGTCTCCTGGTTGATTTGATCGCATCTGAGGTATTTATACATTTTATTTTTAAACCTGTTAATGTGCTATAATACACATGGGTTCTATTCTAGTGTAAAAATCAAACTTTCATCCCTCAGATAAAGCCAATGTGGCTATGGTTTGTTTCTTTGTATATTATTATGGACTTTGTGTTCAGGAGGTCATTGGTCTGCACTCTTCCTTTGGGGTGCTGTTAGCAGCTTTGGTATCAGAATGAATGTGGCTCCATAGGGTAAATTCAGCATTTCCTCACACAATGCCAGCAGGAACGCCTGTAAATCCTTGTTCTGCCAGAATGGTGTTCCCTCAAAATTCACGTGGTGAAGCCACTTGAACACTTTAGCCCAGTGCCTCAGAATGTATCTGTCTTTGCAAAGAGCACCCTCAAGGAGGTGATTAGATTAAACGAGACTAATCTACTTGATTGTCCCTAAGACACAAGTAATAAAGCCACCCTCGCAGTGTCTCTTTGCACCCATCTTTGGGAATAGCTTAGGTTTGGATCTGGGGTTGCTCTCCCACAAGTGGAATTTCTGGGCAGACCAGTTTATTATTCACGATTGAGCTCTTGGAGCTTGGAAGAGGCAGGTGGGAGTGGAGGAGCCCGGCCCTCCCCGGGGAGGATGGGGCTGTCTGAAGACCTGCCTGACTTGCATCTCCACTCGAATTTTAGGGGACAAAGTGGCTTCCTGAGGTTCTAGGTCTTGGTTTCAGCCTAAATGCGGGCACTCCCCAGCTCCTGCAGGCTGTATTTGCTGTTGTTGTTGTTGTAGGTCAGTGATCTTCTGAGAGACAGATGCAAATGAGGAGGTAGAATTAGAACCCAGATACCCCGCAGACAGGAGAGCAACACCAGCCTTGCCACAGCTTTTCTGAAGCCCTTGTCACATGGGGCAAACCCTGGGGCTCACTGAGAAAACGAGGGCCCCAGATCTCCAGGATTGCCAGTCGTGTCGAGATCCACAAACCAAAACATGCAGGTACCCGCAAGGGAACGCACCTGCAAGTACAAATTAAAGCCTGGTGTGCGGATGAGTGATGGTAGGCTGTGAGGGACTTCCTGGGGACACAGACAGGAAATTGGGCGGAAGTGTGGGGGGGGGGTGACAGTGAATGGCACCTGAGATAGGGTCATGGGCTTGGGACAGCCAGAAAAGGAAGTCTGGGAAGCCTGCGGGGGAAGAGATGCTTGTGGGGAGTAGGAAGTGGGAGGAAACGGGGGAATGGGAGGAAAGGGGAATGCGGGGACAGACCCTTGTCAACAGGATTGACACTGGATGAGGAGAGATGTGAGGATGAGGGGATAATTGGAAGTACCAGAATCCCACAGGCCTCTTTTCCCATCATCCCCACCACCACCACATCTGCACCCCACCCCTACTCACCCCAGGCCCTGGTCTTTAAAACTGAGCCCTGTGTATGCCTCATAGCACAGGTGACACTGGTACTTACAATCCTTATCCCTGGAACGAGGCCTTGGTACCCTGACTCCACAGTCGAGGGAGCCCAGTGGCCAAGGTCTCAGCCCTGGGTACCTGCTCAGTCTGCTCAGGTGGCTCCCAGAGCCCTCTCTTCTTTCCCGACTCCATACAGAAGATGGTAATGACAGAGACCAGCACTGCACACCCCACTCCCTGAAAACAAGCAACTGATGCTAACACCCAGACTCACCAGACTCGCCCTCCACCACCCACCCTGGTACCATCTGGGTACAGATAATAATTTTCAGAGACAATTTGGGGGTGGGCTAATTTAGGAGTGAAGTAGGAGGGGCTGTTGTTGGGCCCGGGGTACTGTTTGAAGCCCTGGGGTGTGTTAGACAGCTGCGGCACTGAGTGTGGTCTCTACCCACAGGGACAGGTTAAAAAGAGCCCGAGAGGGCTCCTGACATTGCAGGTGAGCTGGGTGCATGAGTTGAGCTCCCCACTCTCACCCCATCTCAGTCAGGGGAAGACGGCCATCAATACACTTAGGGATGCGTGGATAGGTGCATGTCCACACAAAGTCCCCTCACCAATAAGAGCCTCCGTCACTGGGTCAGACTTGGGCTCCTCACAGCTTTCTTCATAAGCAGGCATTGGTGGTCTTTCTTCTTAAGCCTGCTTTGGGGGTCTGCGCAGTGTTCACGTTTAGCTAGTCTTGTTACCACGGTTCAGCTGGGATCTCTGTTGTTCCTCTCTGACATCCACCAATCAGCCTCTACCATCCCCTGAGGTAATGCGTGATCCCTGCTGTTTGAGACATTGTCCAGCCAGCTTAGGGCAGCACAGCCTCTGCCCCACTGGGTCCTCGTGATGACGATGCATTCACCCAGACTTGTCTTTTTGCCTTGTTGTACGTGCCTTTTTTCCCCCTTTTAAAACATTAATTTTTATTTTTAAAATATGTTATGTGTATGTACATGCACTCGGGAGCCTGCAAAGTTCAGAAGAGGCATCAGATCGCTAGGGACTGGGGTTACAGATGGTTGTGAGCCACCGTGTGGGTTCTGGTGAACCCGAGGCCTCTCTCTGCAAGGGCAATAAATGCTTTTTGACTGTGGGGGCCATCTCTCTGGGCCCAGTTTATTTTTATTTTATGTGGATGAATGCCTTTCCTGCATGGATGTGCCTGTACCACTCACATGCCTGCCACCTGAAGAAGCAGAATACGGCACCAGAACCCCTGAAATCGGAGTGACGGGCAGCTGTGAGCTGCAGTGTCAGTGCTGGGAACTGAACCCAGCTCCTCTGCAAGAGCATCGAGTGCTCTTAACCACTGAGGAAACTCTCCAGCCCTTCTCTCTTCCTCCCCTCCCCCTCTCAGATTCACATGTTGCCCAGGGTAACCTAAAACCTGCCATGTAGCCAAGGATGGACTTGAACTCCCCCTGCCTCCATCTCCCAAGAGCCAGGGTTATAGGCATGTGCCACCACAAGTGGGTTTCTGATGTGGTTGGGTCTGGACCTTTTGCACTCTGGCCTCCTTAACCCTCTTTGCTTTGTATTTGGAACTGAGTCCAGTCTCTCTTGCTAACTCTAAGGCCCGGGTACAGTGATCCCTACAGGAAGGTCCCTTGAAGAAAGCGCCTCTTGCTTTTCCTCGGCTAGTGTTGTTAGATAACATTTCCCTTAGCATCTTCCAGCTGGGGATGGAGAGAGCTTCAGACTTGCTTCAGGTACAGCAATCAGGGGGTGGGGCTGATTCTTGGTGCCAGTACCCCACTCCCAAATCCAGAGGTGGGCAGGCTGATGTGGGGTGGGGATTTCACTGGCCTGGTGTGGGAAGGGCTGTGACAGCAGGAGGGAAGAGGTGGAGCCAGTCTTTTCTAGGGCACCTGTCACCTGCCTCCTGCCCAGGGGCATTGCCCCAGCACTACCCAGCTAGTGTGCGTGGCAGCAGCGTGAAGCTGGGGCCTGTTCTTCAGAGACTTCCGGGCATATCAAAGACCTTTAAAGCCCTATGTCGCTGGCCTCCCCAAATCCAAGACATGGCAGATGGGGCACAGGCCAACCCCAAAGGGTTCAGGAAGAAGGCGCTGGTTAAACACCCCACTGCATGGAAGAGGCCAAGCCTCAGGGCCTCGTCTCCTTTCAGAACCTCCAGGTAGGTGCTTGTTGCCCTGGAAGGGAACATTCCACATAGGGGGCAGGGAGACGGGGAGGGGTTCCGGTTCTGCTCTGGAGTCAGTTGCTCGGGAAGGAGAGCAGAGCTTCTGTGTGTTGAGCAGAAGCATGCCAACTGCATTCTGGTGCTAGAAGGATCTCCGGGAGTTAGTCAACTTCAATCTGTTCTTGAAGCCTAGAGAGACTGAGAGATCTGCCTGTGGTCCCTCAGCATATACCAAGCTGAATCTAGAATCCAGCGACCTGGGTCTCTTGGTTTTATGTTTTAAGACCCAACTGCCAGGTGGGGTTCCACAACTCAGGTCCTGGCATTCCTTGGAATATGGACTCAAGAGAGCTGAATCTGGTGTGGGACCATGGCTTCACGTCTTGGAGCTGAGAGTCGGGTGCGGGCGGTGGAGGAGATTGGTTCTGGTGGCTCTGCCACCCTGGGGTGTGTTCCTCCCAGGAGATGCAGGCCAGGTAGGGAGGTGCTGATCGCAGGGCTGGGTGACAGCAATTAGGGCAAGAGAAAGCATGGGTGGTGTCTTGGATGACACCCGGCTACACGTAGCTGGGGAGGAGGGATTCAGGTTGGGCTTTGCTCTCTCTCTCTCAGGTCCAGCCTGGGTATGAAGAAATTCTTTGCCATCGCAGTCCTGGCCGGCAGTGGTGAGCATAGCTCCCAGGAGACCTTTCTGAGCCCCCTCCCTCCCCCAGCCTTTCCCTAGAAATGTGGGCCTCCTGTGTGGTTCTCCTAGCAGGTTGTTCCTTCCTCTCCACTTCCCTGTCTAGGCTCCAACCTCTCTTCTCCGGGGCTGTTTAGTCCGGGACACTTGTAAACAAGCCGGAAGACGTCTTTAACGAGCTATGCCGAGCAGGTGCAGGACGCTGAGCAAGCCTCGTAAACTCGTAGTGTTTGCCATCATCGTGGACCTGAGCATATGTATTAGTGGCTTCCGTGCTGGCAGGAGTTAATGAGTTTGTGTGTAGCTAGGTGCGTGTCTGTGCAGGAGTGTAGGTGTGTCTGAGCATACACGATGTCTGTATGGCCCACACGTCAGTAAAATATGGCTCATGGCTGGCACCTAGGTGTGCATTTGTGTTCATTGTGGGGTGTGTGTGTGTGTGTGTGTGTGTGTGTGTGTGTGTGTGTATGAAGTGGGGAGTTTAAGGGAGTTTTTGTCTATCCCAAGCAAATCATGTATGTTTCTTACTCTCATCCTGTGTGAGCTGATGGTTGGGGACCCAGCAGCCTGGTGTTGCATATACCCTATCCCCAGGGTAAAATGCCTGCAGGGGAGGAGGCAGCCAGGGCCTTACGGTGGCAACTGGGTACCTCAAGGTCCTTTGGGGGGTTCTATTTAGCCTCCAACTTTCCAATCCTGGGCTTCCTGTCTCTCAGAACATTTTCTTGTCCACAGAGAAAGGAGGTTGGAGGATGTGGGGATGGGATGCCTAACTCCAGGTACAGATGGAGCAGATCATTGGAGGTTGTTATATGCGTGGCTTAGCATCCAGCTTAGGAACAGACAAGGCTCCTGCCTGAACTCTGCTACTCCCAGTCTGTGCTACCTGGGCAAGCCTTTCCCCTTCTGAGCCTTTGTTTTCTCACCCCATAAATGGAGATAAAACCTCCCTTCTGCTGGTGGGTGGGTGAGCGGCTTCACCCAGGTAGGGCCTGCAGACCCCAGGCTCATGGCACTGACTCGGCGCAGATGGCTCAGAGAACCCCACACGGGGCAGGAGAGGGAAGCAGTCAGAGAAGCAAGGATGAATGAATGGCTGGAGGGCCTGGCCACTGTCAGGAAGCTGAGTTTTGCTGGTGACAGAAGCACCTTTGCATTATTCCTTGCTCAGTGTGTATACTGTCTGAGGCGCACCAACTTCAGGATGCTGTCAGGGACCCTGGCTCCCTTCAGCAGCAGAGGGCAGGAAGGGAGCAGAAAGAACCCAATTCCTGCAACTCCTGACGGTTGTGGCACTCAGGATGACCTCTTGGGGAAGTGGTCTCTGATCTCATTAAGTTGCCCAGGCTGTCCCTGAATCCCGTCTATAGCCCAGGCAGCCCTTGCACGTTCAATCCTCCTGCCTCAGACAACGTCCTGAGTGGCTGGAATGTAACCACCAAACATGACTGAAATGCAATTCCGACTTTTAGGATTTTCACCTTAGTATGAGTTCAGCAGGCTCCACCTGAGGCAGAGGGTGTGGCTGAGGTTCCCACCCTGATTGGCTCTGGGTTCTCCAACCATAACGTGACAATGTGACCCTAGGCGAGTTACTCAGGGCTCCAACCTCAGTTTGCTTATCTGTAAAACTGTGATAATGACTTCACAATGAATACCCAATGAGTTAACAAAATCAAGGTTTTAGGAGGCTGCCTGGTTTGCAGCTGAATGCACCAGATTTGGTCCTCCGGGCTGGGGCTGTAGGGCTCGCTGCAGGGAGTGGGAACACCCCAGCCTACTACCCTCTCCTCCCTTCGCCCCTTCCCCATCCCATTCTCTGGGCTCTGAGTCTTGGCTCTGAGGAGTCACTCCTCGCTTCTCTTGTAGTTGTGTCCGTCGCCCACGGCAGCCTGTTGAACCTGAAGTTCATGGTGGAAGCTATCACCCACAAAAACGCCATCCTGTCCTTTGTGGGCTACGGCTGCTACTGCGGGCTAGGGGGGCGCGGCAAGCCCATGGATGAGGTGGACTGGTAGGTTCTGGAGGCCTCCTGGGGGGAGAGATGGGGGACGCTTGTGGACAGACTGAGGAGGAAGGGCCAGGAACCCCATTTTTACTTTCTTAGATGTTTTCTGTTGTCTGTATTAGAATGGCATTTTATGCCCCACACAAACAAACAAGGAGGCACTGGTCTTGTGGGTGATGCTCCACAATGGCACGGACATTATGGACACCCACCTTATTAGTTCACGCTTCCTCCCTCAGACTAAGAGGCCCTGGAAGTCATGGCCTCTGCACCAAGTCTGGCACCACAGAGAGCAGGCAGCGGGCTTCACTCTTGTAGAAGAGGAGGGGATGCCCACTCTGCATTTGCTGCCCATCTTTCATGCCCCAATGCCTGTTGACACCCCCCGGACCCTTTCCCCTCCTTGGCCATCCAGCACAGTGAGGCTCTACATAGAGCCTGAGTTACTTCCTATGGTTTTAAAGCAACGGCTTCCTGCCCGACCCTCCCTCCCTCCCTGACCTGGTAGGGGGGACACCTGACTCCAATTGCAGCTCCACTCTGGGCTCCAGTGTAGGGAGCGAGCCGAGAGCCCTGAAGATAGGACAAATAGGTAGGGTCAACGACAAGAATATAGGACGCCAGTGCCTGTTCTGCTTTGCTGTGTGACATTGGGTGTGTAACTACCCCTCTCTGGACTGCAGTCTGAAAGGCTGACTGTGAGGGATTGGAATAGATGATCCAAGGCCTCCGCTTGGTTTGGAGGGGGGCTGCCTGCCTGCATCTGTCTGCCCATCTCTACCCCCTCAGGTGCTGTCATGCCCACGACTGTTGCTATCAGAAGCTCTTTGACCAAGGCTGCCGCCCCTATGTGGACCACTATGACCACAGAATTGAGAATGACACAGTGATTGTCTGCAGTGAGTCCCTCCCTTGACACCCTGGCTAGGAATGGGACCTTGGGGGTGAGTGTGGGGACCCAAGGACAAACCCAGGGTACCCCACTAAGTTCGGATTTCAGGCAGTCGATGAAATGTTTCTGGGATAAGGATATCACAAACGAGACACACCGACACTAAAAGCTAACTGTTGGCTTCAAATTAGTATTAGCATAAAATGAAGAATTAGACTAGCCATTAATCTGGCATGAATCTGAGTAAGAACTATCTCTTGCTACTTGGCCCTTACCAATCTCTCCCTAGGAGAGTGGGGACTTGCCTGGCTCCTCCACTGAAGGGAGGAGTCTGGGAAAGTGGGAGGTAGGGTTGGGTAAATCTGCCCCTCTTTTCTTTTCTATTTACGTGTGTGTATACCTGCTTCTCTGTAAGTGCACCACGTGAGTGCGTGCACCTGCAGTGCTCAGATGAGGGTGTCGGGTCCCCTGGAACTGGAGTCACAGGTATTGTGAGCCACTTGATGTGGGTGCTGGGATCTGAACCCAGGTCCTCTGCAATAGCAGCCAGTGCTCTTAACGGCTGAGTGATGCAATTGGAGGTTCTTCTGTCCTGCCCTGTCCCAGTCACTTTTAAATCATCACTCAGAGGCTTCTATTAATTATAAATGTTTGGCTGATAACTCAGGCTTATTAAAACTAGCTCTCACATTAAATTAACCCATTTTGATTCATCTATGTATCACCACGTGGCTGTGGCTTTATCAGCCCACTGGCATCTTGTTTCTTGGGCAGCTGGCTTGCATCACCTGAACTCCACCCCTCCTCCTCTGAGTCCTCAGCTTGATTGTTCTGCCCAAGCTTATCCTGTCTGGCTACTGGTCAAACAGCTTTTATTATTAACCAATGGGGACAATACACAGTCACAGTGTATAGAAGCATCCCATAGCAGAACCATCTCTCCAGCCCCCCCCCCCCCTTAGCCTCAGTTGTCCCAGTTGCTCAGAGGTTCCCTAGTTTTACCCCGTGCTAGCATCACTCACAGGCTGTGGGGTACCAGCCCAGAGCAGGCCACCCCAGAAGCCAAGTGGAAGAAGACTTACGGACTTGCAGTCATTTCTCCAAGGCCACCGGGTTCCTAGAGCCCCTTCCTCTCTTGTCTTGCTGTCACCCATAGCCTACGCCTTCTTTCCATGACAGGTGAACTCAATGAGACAGAGTGTGACAAGCAGACGTGTGACTGTGACAAGAACCTGACTCTGTGCCTCAAGGACCAGCCATACAGGGACAGGCACCGAGGCTACCTCAATGTCTATTGCCAGGGTCCCACACCCAACTGCAGCATCTATGACCCGTACCCGGAGGAAGTCACCTGTGGATACGGCTTCCCATCGACCCCTGTCTCAACCTAGCCCGGCTGAGGTCTGAGAGAAAAAAGGGTGGAGGGTCTGACTGGGGTCTACATCGGATGTGTGGGGCCACATAGGGCCCAGTGCTGTCTTGGGGCTCCCTCCCAGGACTGTAGTTAGCTCAGAAAACTCTAGAAGGCCAGGGCTTATCTGTGGCCATCACTTGGTCAGTCTCACATTCAGCAGCTGGGTCAGGTCTTAGCAGGAAACACACGACCTGCTGGGGTCTCTCCTGGATATGGAAGGAAAGGATATGGCCCCAGCTCACCTCCCAGAACCTTTGAGACCAGCACAGGCCTGGAACCACACTCGGGAAGGCAGAATGCCAGGCTGAGACCTGGGTTCTAGGAGCCCCTGGACCTCCACAAGATGAATGAAGGAGTCATCTCTTCTTTGAGGAGGACGTGTGACTCTCTAGAGTCCCACTCACAGAGTGGGGGGCCCCATCCAGTCCTCTAGGCCCAAAGCCTGACCTCTGTTACCCAGAGTGCCTCTGGGCAGGCTCCAAGGGCACAGGGATCCCATATACAGAGTAGCTGCACATACAGGAACTGGGCGGGGGTGGTCACACATCCATAGTTCTTCCTACCCCTCTGACTCCTGCACAGAGTGGTGTGTTTCCCACTGTGCCCTTACCCCACCTAAATTCAGAGTGACAAGCTAGGGGGTACCCGGAGCTCTCATTACGTATGCAGGGAGAGGCGGATTCAGACTGTCTCTGGGAAAGACACTAAGGTTTAGGTTGAAAGGAGGAAAAAAAAAAGTCTAATCAGGAGACTGAGAGGAAAACTTGGGTAGAGAGAGGGTGGGGTGGAGAAGAAGGGAGGGGTGGGGGTGAGAGCAAGACTTAACGAAGGCCAGACCAGTTGTCAGACATGTAGATGGGAACAGCAAGACAAAGGAGGGGACTGGGCTAGTGATGCTGAGGGCGTGGCCCCATGGGTCTGGGGGATCTCGAAGGCTCCTGCTGGCAGGTCACCTTCCCCACTGCCCCCAGCCTGTGTTTCCTCAGGTGTACCTCTCCCTGTCCCCAGCCTCACCTTCCATCTCAGGATCAGCAGTGTCTAGCCCTGCCTCATACCTGTCTTCTGCCTTCATCCATGTTAACTCTGAGGACCCAGGGACACCAGCCCCATCTGGACGCTGAGAACATTCACTGGGAAGCTCAGCTTGTGTGGCTACGTGGGACATTGTCACTGGGGAGAGAGAGCCAATTAGGGTGGCAGCAGATGCAGGAAAAAATGTTTATGCAGACGGCAGTGTCGGAAATGGCAACTTTGGGACTATAAGGGATCATTGCGGGCAAGAGCGATCCTTCTGAAGCTTGCCTCATGCTGGCTGTGGTGTGACATGGTGGTCACCTAAATGAACTGACTGAACTTGCCCCGACCTTGTGATCTTCCTCCTCTACCCTCTCAGTTCAGCCAAGTCTCCTTTCCCTTCCCTGTCTCACTAGCCCCACCCCCACGCCAGGGGTAGGCCTGCAATGGGTGCCCAGAGAGCTTCCTCCTGAGTTTTGACCTCAGGCTTGTGGGCTCTTCCATGGGCACACATCTCCTATAGAGAAGGCTGGACCAATGAGACTCTACTGCTGTGGTATCCAGGACCCTGTGCCTCAGTCCCCCTCTCCCCGCTGCCCCAGTCTCCGCAGAATGCCACATCCACTCCTCAGACTAATAAACACTCTCCAGGCTTGGCTGCCACTGCTGGGTCCTTTTTAGGGTCAAGGTGGGCACAGGGATGCATTCCCAGGTCTCTAGTTTTGGGGAAGACAGATGTCTTGACATTCCACAGCTGGCATGGCCTCATCCTTTCCCTCACCCACTGCTGGTGGCGAGATGTGGCCCTGTGCAGCTAAAGACACAAACTGAGAAGACAGGAAAGTAATGCCGAGGCCATGGGCAAGGGCAAAGGGACCCTCCACGCAATGGCGGCAGCCAGTGTGGGCTCAGGATGCTTGTCCTTTTGTGATGATGAGCTGAGGTCCAGAGAGGGACAGCAGCTGTCTCCAAGTCTCCAAAGTCACAGCTGTGCTCTGAATCCCGAGAATGACATTCAGTCACCCCTCCTTGTGCCACCACACTGACATGCACCGGACACTATCCTCGTCCAGTGTCGTGTCTCTGGTTGTCCCTTCTGGGATGGAACCCTGGCCTAAAGGTCACAGCTTGATAGGACAGCCAGACAAACAGCAGCTAAAGCGGGGGCAGGGAGAGGGGAGTCAGGGTGAGGCGGGAAGTCTAGGTCCTCCTGGTTTCTAGCTCCGAGGTCAGATGCCTCAGAGGAAGTGGAGGAGTGACAGGAAGCCACGGAGCAACCCATGTGTATCCACCTCTTCTCCCTCTCAAGTTCCTTCACGGATTCCTTTCTGTTTCCTCGTGTGCCCAGTGTCCAGAGCCACAGCTGCTCGTCTTAGTTTGATTTCTATTGCTGAGATAAACACCGTGACTCACGGGCAACGTGGGGAGGATAGGGTTCATTTGTCTTACACACGCCTTCCACAGTTGGTCACTGAAGGAAATCAGGGCAGGAACTCAAGCAGGACCAGAGGCAGGAAGCATAGACGGAAGCTACTCACAGTTCCCCATGGTTTGCTCAGCTTGCTTTCTTATACAACCCACTCCTGCCCAGGGAATGGCACCACCCACAGTGGGCTGGACCCTCCCACATTATAGGTACCAAGGTCTTTTTCCCTTCTTCCTCCGGCTCCCTGGAGATTCTGCACTAGCACTGGCTTGAGGGGATAGCTTAGGAAGAATTTGACTCTCTTTGTTATGGTGATTCCACCTGTATTCAAGGTTCTAGCAGTGGGCTCCACACACCTGGCCCCTCCCAGCTAATTCTGCCTGAGGCACCGGGGGGCCTTTAATCTCCTTCTCCTGCTCCTGATGGGAGGAGGCCTTGCCCTTTTGATCCACCTTGCCCACTGGTATAAATACCTGACTTGAGTTTAATAAAGCGGCCATTTACTCTTGGTAAGTGAGCAGGTCTCTCTTTTGTGTGTATCTGTTTTAAACCCTCAGGACAATCGTCCATTCTCGTGGGCCCGAGTTCAGAAAGGCGCGCGCCTGGATCGCATGTGGGTATCCACAGAAGAGGCGGGGTCCTACACCACATCAATCATTAATCAAGAAAATGCCCCATAGATACGGCCACATGACAATCCGGTGGAAGGAATTTCTCATTGGAGGCCCCTCTTTCCAACTGTAGTGTGTGTAAAGTGGACCCAAACTACCCCACGCTGTGTTCCTAAGGGAAGGGGGGAGGAAGTCCCCCAGGGAGGTGAGGCTGACACCCACGGGCTCTGTCCCCAGTGAAGAAGCCTTTCTGCATTGCAGACTCAGCTCATTATGAGATCCTGGAAGAAGACAGAGACTGAGTTGGTGGTCTGCTGTGTTCCCAGGAGTGGCCCCTGTTCTCCAAGAGCCCCGGCCAGGAGGGGAGGACGGCATGTACGACCATAACCTTCACGTATGATGCCCTATGGCATACCAGTACAGATGAAGATATTTCAAGTCTACGGCAGCTGCAGGTGTACCCCAGAGGCCATTAGGGTCGGGCTGGGATGAGAGGAAGAGAAGGAAGGACATGACCTTGGGGGGGTGGTGGGGGCTCCTTGCTCCCACAGTCTGTCTCTGCTTGTGACTCCTGGTCAATCTTTCTGAGCTCTGAGGTCCTCTACGCTGAGACTTGAGAGGGTGCTGTCCTTGCTCTCTTGCTGACCTAGTCCTTTTGAGCTCCAAAGAGCCCGTCATTCCCCCCTCGTCCCCTAGTTGCAGATTTGGGAAGCCTTTGTTTTTAATGACTGTTTTTTAGAACTTTGGTGACACCTGGTGGTCACTATAGCTCACACCCGGCTCAACCCATGACATCTCAGGGCTCCTCTGCTAAAGGAACCACCACGGTGGGGTTCCTACCCCATAGACAGGTCTCATCCCAGGAAGTCAATGTTCGCCTGGAGCAAAGGGACACATCTCCTCAACTACCTTGTCACGGCCACCAATGCTACCACTCACAGCAAACACTTGTCCTTCAGGCAAAGACTGTGGACTAGGTACTACACAGCTCAGTCACTGACTGGCCCCACGGCCCTGGGCAAGTCATGTCACGCCCTGAGCCTCACCTCTCTGCACTCTGTGGCACAGATGTCTGGGGGTGGGGGCAACTGAGGGCAACAACATGCATGCCCTGTGGCATGCCTAGTACAGTCTGGCACGGAGGACAGAAAGTGCCAGAGCTGGCTAGGGTGTTGACCACAAGGTCCCCAAGTCAGCTTGGCAAACAGGAGCAGGAAAAGGAAGGAATTGGTGGAAGAGGATTGCCCATGATCTCCCCCCGCAAAGCTGCGGCTTAACGAGCCAGTCCGGTCCCTGCACAAGGGGGTTGGGGGAGTTAGAGGGAGCTGAAAGGGAAGAAGAGGGGAGGCAACCACAGGTCTCTTCCCCCTGCCATCCATGCCTGCCCCTGGGCTGAGCTGGACTGGGCTGGAGCGCGGCCATTTATTCAGCTCAGCCTTGAATGTGAACACAGCCTTTCCTCTCCAGGGGCTGGCAAAGCAACGCCAGCTGCCAGCCTCCCCAGTTGTGGCTTCCTAACAAGCAGCTGATGCCACCAACTGTGACAAGCAAGGTTCTGAGAGAAATACTGAGGCTTCCTAGCATCAGGAGGCAGGATTCTGGAGCAAAACCAAGCCAGATCTCTCTGTAAGGGCCACCAGGCGAGAACAGCTTGCTGGAGCAGGGGTCTGTAATCCCAGGGTGGCAGCCGAGATTAAGTGAGCACCTACTGTATACACACTGTTCCTCACACAGCTCACACTGCCTGGCAGCTGCCTGAGCTAAGGACTCTTCATCATTTCCTTTATAAAATGAGAAGGTTAAAGCCCATAGAGGCCACATAAGTTATGCGTTGTCATCCAAGAATTGACTCCTGACTCCACTGAGCCATAACCTAGAAAGGTCCAATCTCTCTCTCCTATAAAGGGGGAGGGAGAGAGGGGAGATATGTGTTAGTTGGTTTTGCTATGACAAAGTTCCTGGCAAAAGCTACTTAAGGAAGGGAGGGTGTATTTGGGCTCTCATTTGAGGGAACGGTCCATCACGACTGAGAAGGCCTGGGAGCCAGAGTTAGTGGTAGCTGGTGACGAGCCCAAGAATAAGAATATAAAAATGTAGATTCCAGAAATAAGAAATAAAGAAATACAAAGTTGTAAGCCTAGGAGAATGAGAGCAGACTGTCAGCAGCTTTCTCAGCAGCTTAAAGATTAACTATTAACAGCAGGTTACTCCGCTTTACAACCCATAGCTCTATTAACAGCGGGTTACTCTGCTTTACAACCCATAGCTCTATTTGCAAGGCTGAAGCAGTCCTCTGCAAACTTAGGGTCACGCTACAAACTGAGGGTCAGCTTTTAGATAACCCCCTGGCCGTTCATGAGCAGAAATTGATGTGAGCTAATTTGTCAATGATGGGATGTACATGACTTTTGACACTTTGGTTTTATGTTGTCCCATACCCTTCCCTGCTATGCGAAACTGGCAGTGTCAGGGGAGGTGCAGAGCCTTGGTAAACACTGTCCAGGAGTGCCAGGGAAAAGCAACAGACTAAATACAAACACTAGTTTAACTGAAAAACTCTGCTAATGGAAATTGTAAAGAAAGGTAATTTGTATCCAAGTTTTACCTTGAGATTGTAAACATTCTTTTGTTATTGTCTAATACTTGATATTAAAGGAGGAGTTTAAAAACTGGCCTTTGCCACAGCTAGCTGTGGTCTCAGATAGCTGATAAGCCTTTTGTGCCCCATGGAGATTTATTCTTTTTTAATTTTTCATTTTTTTCCTGGAATAAAGTTTGCTTCTGGTTTATTAGACTTCATCACAGGCCTGGCATAAAGTCAGTCCCCAGTGCAGACGAATGGCTGCCCTCCCAAGAGAGTAACGTTTCCTGCAAGCACCAATGATATCCTTTTACAGCCCCAACGTTCCCGCTTTGGTTCTGGGCACAACACTGACTGGGACTCACATGCCACCTGTACGCTATCCTAGGTTAGAACCAGTCTCTGCTAGGACAGGACCTTCCAGGAGGCGACATGCCGTTGGCTTAGCCTAGCCACACTGGTACCATGCCTGAGACCATCCCCGATGTTCCTAGGACAAAGGTTCCTGCCCCTGCCCCTCCCCACATGTCTACTTTCTGTACATGGGCAGGTTGGGGGAAGAAAGACGGCTATGCGGGTTGAACCAGGAAGACCTCAGTGGCCCTGGCCCTCTACTGACCCTTCTGTTTTTATGTGCTCTGCCTTCTCAATCCAGGTCTTAACCTCTGACATTGGTAGAAGCTGCTACACCCCGCTACAATCCTGGGATTCAAAACCCTTAGATTTGAGTCTCTGTGTGTTTCTTTAAATCCCTGCTGCTCATCACTGCCCGTGGTGACAACACAGTATGGGCTCCACACACAAATGCTGGGTGACCTGCTAAGCAAAGTGTCTGTGCACTCTCTTCTCTTCACCTGTGTGCTCTCTATCACCACACAAACCCTGTCATCTCCCCTAGTACTCACTGTTGGGGGGGTGAGGAAAAGTGACCACCAAGTGCTGAGAACCTGGCAGTACCAGTGAATAAAGACCAGCACCATCGGCTAGGCAGAGCTGTGTAACCAACCACGCCGAAGCACCACGACAGCCGACGCACCATGACGACACAGTTTCCTGTATGAGGCTCATGGTTCTAGATGCTACAGCCCAGCCTGGACATGGCTGGGCTCCCCAGTGCTTGCAAAGTCTCTGCTGAGCCCAGATCTGCTGTTGCTGATGCTGCCCCAGCAAGCTCTTGTCACCCAGGAGGTCAAGCCCAGGCTTCCTCCAGGTAGACACAGGAGTCTTCACGGTAGACCTGCCCTGGACCTCAGAGGTTGAAACCTGCACTTAAGACCTCCGCTTTGGTTACAGGACCCCTCCAGATCCAGGGGCCAGAAAGGACACTCTGCCCTTGACAGATGTGCTGAAAGCTTTGGCACGAAAGGCAAGTGCCACCAAACAGGGAGACAAGCGTGGTCATAGCTGTGCCTGAGATCCACTATGTTAGTCTGGCCGCACAGAACGGACCCCACCTCAATGAGACCTTCCCTGTTTACTGTTCTTACAGGACCAGAGGCTTCGAAATGGGGGTGGAGAGTTAGGGTGCCTTAGATCCACCGCCCATCATCTCTCCACTTCCTCATGTCATCTTTGCCGTGACATCCTTGTGGCAGTGGTGAGTATCATCGTTGCAATGGCACCCGGCTTTCTGAGACACCAGACCAGCCTTCTTCCTGCAGCAGGTTTACAGAAGGAAGACCTGGGGCAAAACAAACAAGGACCAGCCTCCAGGTGAGGATCTGTATTTTCTAAGCTACCCACTTTGTTCCCAGTCAGATCTGGGTGGAGAACTTGGTTCCCCGGTCAGACATGTGTCCTGACGTGGTGGGGAGTATAGTAGTTTAGGTTAGATCTTAGCAGTTTTCCCCCTTCCTGGGAAAAGGGTTTTAGGTCTCAGGTATCCCAGGTTAGCCTTGAACTTATCATGTAGTGAATTCCTGCCTCTCCTGCCTCCACTTCCCAAATGCTGGAATTAGAGGATGCCTCCCATCCCTGCTCTCTTGTTTTCTTGATTCCTAGCACTTACTTCTGTTGGAAGGTGTCAGTTAATTGCCAGGCACCCAGGGTCTGTTTCCAGAGCAGGGATTCCTCCATGTCTCACTTCCAGACCCCAGCACTGAGAGAGAAGACACTCCCTGGACAGCAATGTGGAGCTCCAGGAGCCTGGGAGCTGTCAGAGGTGGCCAGAGACAGCTTTCCAGAAGGGCCATGTCTAGAGCAGGTGCCATGTGACAGGGACGGTGGCCTCCCTAGCAGGGGAGTTTGTGTCGGCCACACTGGGGCTTGCTGAGGAAGACCTTCCTGAAGGCTTTCTCGTAGGTGTCCAGGTTTTCCTTGAAGCAGTACGCAGACAGCTTGTCACACTCACAGGCCTTCTGCCCGCAGAGGCAGCTGCCACCCTGGGGGCATCCACCTGCAGAAACACTCAGAGTCAACGTGGGGCTCGCTGCCTGCTCCAAAGCTGGATTCTAAAGCAGGGCTTTACAGGCTTTACAGAGAGAGCGACAGAGGTCAAGGGCAGAGGGCAGGAAGTGGGGACTGCTTCTGCTTTGCCCACAGCCCTTCCCCAATCACACTTACACATCCTTCCACGCCACAAGGAGCAGAAGCCTAGTCGGAGGCAAATGAGTCCAGGGCTGCATGTTGGGGTGGCAGTGGTCAGTTTCAGCCCCCAGGCAGCACACGGGCTGAGGCAACAGGCAGGACTCAGCTCCCAACCCCCAGGGCCCACCTCCTATTCCAGACACAGCGCTGTCTGGAACATCTCCAGCTGCAGACGTGCAAAGCTACCTTGCACATACATATGTGCCACGGCCACTGGCCTGCCACCTCTCCACCCTGAGGGATGACAGCACCTGGCCCCAGCAGCTCTCTGGGATCCCTCCCTTCCTTTAACTTCCTGTTTCCCATCTGCTGGTATGTCCCATGGATATCCCCATATTTAAACCCCTTCATGTTCTGCCCTCTTTTGTCCACCATCCTGGCCCCTACCCACATTCCTGTCCCTCTCCACACTCTGTCACCGCCAGTTCTTCCTCTTTAATGGGAGGAAACAAACAGGGAGCCTCAAAATGTCACCTGGGTCACAAACAGGTAGTCTCAAAGTGTCACCTGAATCACACTCACTCTTGTTTTAAAGCTACACTGTGCTTCCCCGGTCTTTGTGGATGAGGTGACCATCTCTTTGTGGCAGTCCCCTGCCCACCTGCCCCAGCCTGACTGCCCAGCCTCCCCTTCCTCGTGGAACTGCCACCCTCCCACCCACAGTCTACTCCAGGCACAGGGACCGCTGTGAGTTCAGGTATTACATTCGGCCTTATCCCAGGACCTTGGCACATGTTCTTCCCCTGATTTCTTCCAGTGGTGAGCTCCATAGGCCGTCTGGGTCTTGATGGAGTCACCCAAGCCACTTGGTCTAAAGCTCTCCAGTCACTCCCTCCTAGGTGCCCCTTGCTGGTCTCATTTGTACACTGGCTTGCTATGCCCTCCTCTGCCCTGCAGAGGGAGGCCCCAGCAGTACCCTAAGGAGCTCCCATGGGCTGGCCTCTGCTCCTTAGGGTACTGCTGCCAAAAAGCAAATGAAGCCCTAAGGACTTTGGGATGTGATGTTTACCCTCGAGCGGAAGGGCAAGTCAATTGGGGCCTTTTGCTGCGTAGTCATAGCGCTAATGCTTTGTGTGTGCACACACATGTGCACGCATGAGCGCATACCGGGGTAAGAGAAGGCATACTTCTCCTTTTTATAGGACTCCATCCAGATCTGCTCTCTGTGAGAAGAAAGGGGGCTGCCAGACCCTGGGACTTGTGTTCTGCAGCTGGTTGATCTGGATGTCTTCCTGGAGAAAATGATGCTGACCATGGTCAAAGATGGGCAGCGTAGTAAGGTCCCCTGCTAAGATGCTGGCCCCAGATGGAGTATGTGCTGTGTCTACTGCTCTGGCAGGGGCACCCTTCGCTCCACATATATGAAGAAGCAAGGCCCTGTCTGCTGGACCAGAGCAGGCTGTCTCTCTCCTGCCATCCGTCTCCGAAGCCCACATTCCCACTGGAGCTGTCCACGCATGCCTGTCTCAGGGCAGACACCGCCACCCCAGCCACCCCGGCCCCAGCTGCCCTTCTCTGCACACCCTCAGGAAGGTGCCAAGGACATTCACGCCACGCCCACTCTGCCTCAGGCCTGCACCCATTGGCCCTCTCACACCCCCTTCTCCATCTGTGAAGGTTTACCCTGATCCACCGAGTCCCAGTCCCCTCAGGGCTCTTCCCTATCTCAGCCCCATGCGTGCACCTCTTCCTCCCCGTCTACAGAAAATCTTTAACACAGCAGCTGCCGCCAAGGCCACAGAGGGCATGGGCTACCTGAACGCTGGTCCTTCTCTAGTGGGCCGCTTTTCCTCTATGACCTGGTGCTGCCTCCCAGGAAATACGAACCCTGTTATCCCCTCTGTCCGCCTCCACTTTCCCTTTTCCTCCTCCTTCCTTCCGTTTATGTCTTGCTCCTCTTTCTCCACACTACTTACTTTTCTAGACTCTTCCTTCTTCTCGGACTATGTATATGACTGATTTTGTCTGCATATATGTATGTGCAGCACGTGCATGCCCTGTTCCTTTGACCATGCTCCAGTTGGTCGTATGCCACTAAAGCAGGTGAGCCTCCTGCACCGCCTGGGCAGACATCCATGCATAATGTCCACTCCTTCCCCAGGCTCCAAGCTCCTGCCATACTGACCCTAAGGTTTTTGGACCTCCTTTGCAAGGCTGTCCTTCCACAACTGCCTAAATTAGTTACTTTTCCCTCCTTGGACCCCAGCATCCCTCTAGCCTCAACTGTTGGAGCAGCTGCAAAAGACTTCTCCCCACCTATTTGTGGCTATCTGTCCCTATTTGTGGCTCTATCTGTCCCTGTTGTGGGCTCCCCCTTACTGGAATGTAAGCTCCTTCAAATCAGAGCCTGTGTCCTGCTCATGGTTGATCTCCAGCCCTGGTGTCGGCCAAATTTCCATCCCCATTTGCTGGAGCCTTTAGCAACTGCACTTATGCGGCCTGTGACCCATAGAAAGGTGCCCATCCTGGGGCCCTGGAAGCCAAGTTCCAGACCCCAGTCTATAACTCATACATACACTCTACGATCTTAGGCATGTTGCTTGCTCCCCAAAGCCTGTCTCTTTGACTTTTAAAAGAGGAATAAGCCTGAATTGTCTGTTTAATGAGATTTTTCACTCAGCTTCTCCTTAAACAAACACGTATTAAACTCCTAACTTGCCTTTGTCTAGAACCTAGGGCAAGCACACCTCCAGACTGCAACAGTCTCAAGGGTACTATTTCAAATGAACCACGAGAATGAGTTCCCCCATACGAAAAAGGCTTATCCCTTGTTATATTTGAATATGAGCTATCCCCCCACAGACTCATGCATTAAACACTTGGTCCCCAGAAAGTGGCACTATCTGGGAGAGCAGTGGTAATTTGTGGGGCCTCGCTGGAGGAGGTAGGTCACTGGAGGGTGATTTTGAAGGCTGCTTTGGTCCTGGCCTTTCTTCACGGCATCCCATCTGCCCTAAGAGAAGGAGTCTCTACCGCACGCTCTCACCACATAGTGACCCAACTTCACTGACCCACAAACGACAAAGCCAAGGCCAATGGACTCAGATCTGTGAAACCGTAAGTCAAAAATCAATCCTGGCTGGCTTTTAAATGCTCTCTCGGGTCATACCAATGGAAAAACCTAATACAGACAATGAGCTTGCGGAATCTTGGAGATGAACTAAATGCATCTTGAAACATAAGAAGGCCTTGAGGCTTTGGGGGCAAGGGCACAGTGTTATGGACTGAGGAGGAAATGTCCCCCATAGGCCTGTGTGATGTAGATTCGGGTCCTTGGCTGCAAGTGCCATTTTGGAAAGTGATGGAAGCTTTATCTGGGGGAGGGCGGTGTTCTAGTTGAAGAAAAGAGGTCGCTGTTAGCAAGTCTTTGGGGGCTGTGGATTATATCTGTATGTGTCTTGTTGTCTGTCTGTCATGAGGTTAAGACCCTCCTCTGCCATATACCACATACCACACTGCCACACACCACACACCCTGCCACACACAACACTGCCACATGCCACACACCACACTGCCACATACCACACAGCACACACCCTGCCACACATCACACACACTGCCACATACCACACGCCACACACCCTGCCACACACAACACTGCCACACACCACACACCACACACCCTGCCACACACAACACTGCCACATACCACACACCACACTGCCACATGCCACACACCACACACCTTGCCACACACCACACACCTTGCCACACA